AAAAACAAAAAAGAAAAAACGAGCTTGGAAACACATTGATGCGAAAGCTACTGGCATTTCATTTTTCCGTATAAAATGGTGGAAGAGTCGTCGAGAGGAGGGAGCGATATCAGAATCATACGTATCATATACGTGTACATGTACACACAGAAGGAGAGAGAGAGAGAGAATACGTTGTCAGGGAGGCCAGAACAGGAAGAGAAGGGCATCGGTGTAGAGGCCAGAGGGTATAGGTACGCATGCCCGTGGATGTTGTGCGGCCGAGCCGAGATTTTCTCTCTCGTTCTCTCGCGCGGCTTTTCTCCCCCTCTTTTCCGGAGTTATAACGTCAATAATCCCTCCGCGGGGGAATAAAAATTCCCCCGGCAAATTGGCTGGATTGTCCGTCCTCTCTCGCTCCGCTCGTTTAACTGGAAAAACGTAATTAGAATATCGCGTGCCCACCTATACGTACATCTGCAAAAACAAAAACAAAAAAAACAACTCGTTGGCGGACATATTTTCATTATTCGCGAACGAAAGAGACGTGCCATTTTATAACGAGAATAAAAAATGTTTTCCTCCTAGCTGAAGCGATTTTTTGAAATAACAACAATTGTGTAATGTAATTGCTTATAAAGCGCACTTTGTACATACGAATAATGTCTAGTGCAGATGGAGAGAGGGAGGGAGCCAGGGGGTGGAAATTTGAAATTGAGCTCCGGTAAGAAAATAAGGCGCCCAAAACGAGATCCGCTAATAACATCAACGATCCCGGGCGCTTGAAATTCCGCGGAAATTTCTATGAAACCGTCGACCTTGGATGCCACGTATCCCTCCTCAGCTCCCATCGTTGCTCCCGTAATTCGTGTTTGAAACATTACAAATTAGAAATCAAAGGTCTTTGTGCGGCGCGATTAAAAAAAAAATGTTTATATGTATTTACTTGTTTACTTATTTATTTATAAGCACTTTTACACTTCATTAAGGTAACACAGTTATATACCCGAGTGAGGTATAGGTCGCAAATATACGCAAATAAGTATTTGTCAATTAGAGATGAATGACAATTATAAACTGATATTATAATGATGATGTACAATGTACCCCGAGGGTGGGAGTCATTTTCTCTTTGGTTTGGGTTACCGTACACCCCTATATTTTTGTGCTTACAACGACCACCCACAGAAAGTATTTAGCAAAAAAAAAAAAATTGTTTTTTTCTGCAAATTCATTTCATTTTTTTATTCGCATCCATCCCTCTGGTACATCATACACTTATTGTGCACACCTACGCAAAAATACAGGTATAAAAATATGTACAAGTATAGTATATAAGCACCACCGACAATCCACCAGGATATGCACCACTACAGCCATAAGCATTGAAATAATAAGCGGCGTAAGTGCCTATATTGCGAGAGAAAATTGCGGAATATACGGCAATTGTACAATAAGGTACACGAAACGTAATTCGTCGTTTTGCCGGAGCGTTGAATTGGACAGGCGACTAATTGCCCGACCCGAGAAAGGGACAGAGCGGACCTTTTATTATCCCCGAGTGTGCCGCTACCTGCTGATTCTTCTTCTTATTATCACATTTTACTTCTCGTGCGAGCTCGCAGCAGAGGAATGCAGGACCGGGACTTTAGCCCTCTCCAACCCCTTGGCTCATTCAAATGGTTTATGGGACTTTCTACGGCTTTTTGCTTTGTTTCTATTGTATAATATAAAATACATGTACACTTGAGGTTTGGATTATTTCTGCCCGCGTTGATGTTATTTCACTTCACGTATACAACGCGATGCAAGCCATACAGTAAATATTTTAACATATTATTACGTAACGGTGAATACTTAATCAAATCTGGGCTCCCTCGGACCTTCGTTAACGTTAGCACCGAAGAGAAACTATATCGCCTTATTCACGGAGCGAAAAGAACATAGCCGCGTGAAATTCGAGAAGCTTGTTAATCACGAAAAAATAATAAATGAGCTAAGAAAAGGGGGGGGGGGTGGTGCTGTTTCATGATAAAAAAAGTAGAGCCACTTTGAGGATGGAGAAAAAAAGCAAATTCTCAAAAGAAACAAAAAAAGGACGCGATCATGAGTGTGTGTATACGTGAGCGCGGAATGAAGAGGAACAGAAGAAGAGCATCACGGAGCTCGTAGGAGGGAATTGAGACGTTTCCGGGGTGGAGCCGGGCTCGCCCCGGGGATTAAGCGGCCCGACAGCGAATCATAATCGCTCGCGCGTCCTCCTCCCTTCGTTCCTACGTGTATACGTACAAGCCTCCCCTCCTCCCTGCCGTTGCAGGTACAGTTATACTTCCGGCCCGAGCTTCATGCTGGCCGGGTATGTATCATACACTGCCGCATTATAATATCCGCTCGCACCATTATTGGTTAAAAAACTTTTTTTTCTTTTTTTTTCTTTTGTTTTCTTTTTTTTTTTCTTCTTTTCAATCATCACCATAGTTTTTCCAACAACTAATTCCACGAGGGTTGTTTCAAGGAAAACAGAAAAAAGCTCGTTTCGGTACTGCGTCATTCTTAATTATATCCCTTAATTACCGCTTGTCAATTTCTCGCGCGTAATCACGCACAAGTGTACTATATAGTTGGCTCGGATGAACCGCGGTTTTATTTTTTAACCATTGAAGTTCCGATGCAGTTAATAGATTGATTATATTTTTGTTACTGCTGTACGACTCGTTTTTTATATATATTTTTTTTTTCTTCGACATTAAAACGTTTTAAAACGAACGAAGTAGTACGACTCGAAAATAGTCAGACGCCGGTGCGAACATTACTGATTGAGGTGCCTATCAGTGAGATAATCACATCAGCGTGATGGAGCTTTGTAATTTTTGTTAATTACCCGCACGGGAATTGCATATATATTATACACGCAAGTATAAACAAAAAAATCTAAGCTCTAGCCCGCAGTTTTTTACTTATAGCTTCGGCTGTACGAATCGTTTGAAATTCATGAAAGAAAAATATAACTACCTATTCATAACGGCATACATGTGGATTACCCAAAATCGCGGTACAGCATCCTTTTGCACCCAACCACAAAAGCTCCAAATCTCAAGCTCGAGGCAGCGCCGAGCCGCTCAGGTATGTCGTACAGCACACACGTACAGCCAATACAAGCAGAGGGATAGGTAAAGAGCGGCTCTCGAGAGGGCTGATATGCGTATACAAATATTCCCTCACTGAGGCCACAAAAGCTCCCGACGCACGGCAATATAATAAGCACACATTGTATCATACACGGATTTGTTTCGCGGTGGAAAAATATAAAGCTCATCTTTTCTGGTGGACGGGCGTACAACATTGATTTTTCAGCACAAGATGAGAGGCGACTCTCCTCTTTTACTCGAGAACGGGGCGATTCTCCCTCTCCCATTTTGTTGTCAAAGCCTTTATTATGCGCGTATATATACATCGCGGGAAGAGAATTATGGGGGTGAAGCGGAGTAGCGGGTGGCGGCCGTGGATGATATAGTGATAATTAGAAAAGTTACTTAAGGTGTATGTTAGCTCGGCGGACGTGCGCGTAAATTTTAACAATTTTTTTTTTTTTTTTTTTCCCTTTTCCTTCCGAGGAACGAGATTTTTGTCTTCTTTGGGATACTGGGTAAGCTATTTTTAAGACAACATTTGGGAGAAAACATGAATATGGATTGTTAGACGAGACATCTCACTCGCGTAAATCTCGCTAACGGCGATAAAAACCCAATTAGTGTGGCTACACTCGTATGCGCGCGTCCAAAAGAAAAAGAGACCGCATCGTCCATCGCGTCGGAGCAAAGATGAGAAAAACAAAAAAATCACGCGTACTTAAATTTTCATCCAGCAGTTACGGCGCATCGATTTGACGTTAAAAAGAGAAGAGGAGAAACTACAACAAGGATACAACATGCACGTATACGTATCCGCGCGTTTTGAATTCCTGCGTTCGTATATTACCCGCTGCACACCGCCAACCACTACACCACCACCACCGTCATCCTCCGCTTTTGCCTTTTCCCTTCTGAATGCCCATTCGTCTTTTCCCTCGTCAGGCTCCGCTGGAGTTACATGTAACATCTACTGCGCGTGTTGTGTATATATGTATACATTCATCGATGAATATTGTGTGCGAGCATAAACACACATAACAGATCATAAGTATAGGAAGGGGCAAAAAAGAGCCAGTGACTTTTATTGCAGCGCACACGTCCATCCACCCTATCCCCTTTTTCGCAGTACAGGGGGGTGGGTACCAGTGGACGCTGGACGGGCTTTTTAGCTCGTTTTTGTCGCCTGTACGTGTGTATCATATTCGTACACAATACACGGGCACAACAAGTGGGACACGTGCGTCGCGCGTTACGTCGCAGTTATACACACTTATCCTTTTCGACGGTCTCCCTCTCTCTTTTTTTTTTTTTTTTCTTTGCGCGGAAAAATGTTATTGATGTACGTCGCCCGGAATGAGCAATTTTGATTTCTACCCGCCCGACCCTTTTCCCCCACACCCCCGGCGGATATCTATCTTGTCATCGTTGGGTTCGATGCGCCTTTATCTATTTTTTTTTTTTTTTTTCTTTCAAGGGGGACGACTCTGCACGGCTAATTGCACGTATGGAATTTTTCATTAAATTGCTCGTCCATAAGATTGCCACGGAGATTAACGTGACTCTAGGTTTATTGACCTGTCACTGCGTGGTTGCGGTACTCTTACATGAGAGCGCGGCAGAATATGCATATTTTTTTTCCGTTATTGAATTACTTGTTGAAATTTTTCTTTTGATCTTGTTTATTTTTTCGAAGTATATAAAAATTACACACGTGCCGTATGTTCAATAGCCTACTTTTTGGATAACACAAACAACTCTTTTAACAATTGTACGTCTACGGTTCAACAATTGTTTAAAACCAGCAACACTGGTTGTCAGTTGTATTCAAATAGGGACATAATAATAGTAATAATAATAAAAATATTATGGGACTAAAAAATAATTACAATTTTACGCGTTAACATCCTTCTTGTTGCAGTGCTTAATATGAATGTCATACATGTAGAGATTTCGATATTCAGTTTGACACTTTTTACAGATGAATTTTACATCGGACATAGTTTCCATATGCAACAGACTGATATGCCGTACGAGATTCCCTTTCGAACGAGTTCTAAGGCTACAGTGTGCGCAACCGTACTTGGGTTGCGTGTCACAGTAATGTTTCTGATGTCGATGCAGATATCGCAAAACAGCAAACTCTTTGGAGCACCTTTCACATTTATAAAAGTCTTTGCGATCGGTTTGGTGTTTGTGGCGCATGTGGGCAACGTAGCTGTAATGATGTTTCGTCTTGAACGAACATTGAGTGCAGCTGTAACTCGGCTTGACCCCGCAGATCTTAAGGTGGGTGCGCAGCTCAACCACCATTTTTCTGCATTTTGGACACGGCTTTTCCCGATGAGCAAAGTGGATGCGCATTACGTGCTGATGCAACTCTGACAAGTTTGCATGTGTGCAACTACAGACTTTGCAGCGGTATACTAGTAAGTTGTTGCACTTGGAGCATTTTTTTTTCTTCAACGACCTGACTCGTTTGTTGCATTTTGGGCAGTAGGCTTGCATGGAATTTTTCATTTCTGTAGGGACAAAAAAAAATTTTGAGCCTTCAGCGTAAATTGGATAACCAGTGAAGTACGATACATTGCGATAAACTTACGATTTTCCACCATTTCCTGCTCAGACATACTGGTACTGAGAGCATCAGATACACTGGAACTAAACTGATCCAAACTTTGTTCCAAATCTGCAAGAATTATTTACTGTAGAACCACTCAGAGTTTATTTTAAAGAAAAAAAAAGCCATTATGAGCTACAGCACCTGCGTTCTTGATACCACTGCCATTTGATTGACCAGAATCTACGAGCGCGTTTACAAGTTTTACAGCTTTCTCCTTTACCAAGTGACTCTGCATGTGTACTTTTAATGTGCCTGTACGATTCGTTTTGTACTCACAAAATTTGCACTTAAGATAGGGCTCCTTGCCACAGTGGCTCAAATGAGATTTAAGATCTTTGAGCAATCGAAATTGTTTCTTACAATCTGGGCATGTAGTATAGTTATTTGGATCGATGGTAAGATGACGCCTCCTGACATGCTCCTGATAATAGCGCTTGAATGAAGTTGAATAATCGCACTGAGTACAACGGAATAGTTGAATTTCCTCACGTATGTCTATTTCTGTTTGTTTCAGGGGAATGTCTTCCTTGAGAACTAGATGGCAAAATGACAAAATGACGTTTAATGAGCTTGGTCTGACATTAAAAAATTAAATTGAATTGTTGTTATTGTTTATACTTACGAATTTCAACAGGAGGATTAGAACAACTCATTAAACCTTCAGGATCATGTTCTTTATCTTCTTTTTCTTTTGTAGGTTCTACAGTGCCAGCATTATTTACAGATGATGATATATTAACTGATTTTTGTGCCTGAGTAAAATGAAACTTTTCATTTGTATCAAGGTACTTGTTTGATGTGACTCGTATTCCTTTGGGAGATTGTTGCTGATAATTTTCTGTACATTTTCTTTGTACCTTATCGGCATGTTTTTTGTTAATATGTGTAAATACTTCAGTAACCGTCGTATATCTTTTAAAGCAGAGTAAACATTGGAATAAGAAACACCTTGAATCGCAATCTTGGCATTTTATCATCGTCTGTGATCTTGATTCTTTTTGGATTTTTTGGCATAATCTGCACTTTTTGACGAAAACGATATTTGACGGTACTGTACAATATTTATTTATTAATGTATTCAAAAGACGGAGTTAAAAATTTTTCAATGTTACATATGTTTGAAATAATTTAAAAGTTAAAAAAAAAAATACACACCTCTCTTGCCTTTACGCATTTCAGATTTTATAATCATCATTTGTTTAACGATTTCTGGAATAATTACACTTTTTTTTGGCTTTGGTGTGGACTCACTTATTTTTTCCTCTGAAAGATTAGAACTATGTTATCCATACTGTACTTTACAAGAAAAAAAATATTTTAAACTAAAAACGAAAACACAAACCTACCTGAAATTATTACAATGTCATCACCATCATCATTTTTCGTATCATTATCTTCTTCCTGAAAAAATTCTGAGCCATTTGTGCCTTCTTCTGCAAGTTAAATTATTTCAAAAACATTAATAACATAATTATAAGACTATCAAAACTTTCAAATAGTACAAAGTAGGGGGTAATTGTTTTAACCCATAATTACCCAATTTAGTACTAATTACGTCCATTGGAGTTATATCTAATGCAGATTCATCGTTTTTAACATTTTGCAAGTTACTAAGAATATTTGTTTGGACACAATCTAAAATTGAAGACATACATTTTGTTTATTTTTTGTGTACCATTTAAGTAGTGTTTTAGCCTTCTAGCATAACCAACATACCTAGCTGATTTGCAGGATCTGTAATAATTAATTCTTCTTTCATAAATATGTAATTTTCCGCAACAAAGTCCTCTGAAAAAAAGCACTGTTAATAAAAATGTATATATTATATACACAGGCATTGAGTATTCTATGAATACTCATATAACAATGAGTTCAGCGAGTTCTTAAAATACTTTTTTAATTATTGCACACACTCTTTTTAACTTTAGTTGTAGAAAAAAGATTTGCGCTAAAACAATAAACAGATACCAATCCGGCTAATGTGCATAACCTATACGTAAACGTTTCGCCAATATTTATACACATACAGTTTTTGTAACATACCCTCACGCATTTCCGAAAAGTCTCTAGGCTCACTTGGTTCCATTGTTAATGTTGATAAATTTCTGTCACTATTTCTAAACAAATAAACAACATTAAAGGTACCCAGAAAGTGGATCGCGGTCTCCCAGTTCTCCCACCTCCGACCTCACACTGCTCAGTGCTCACATATCGATAACAATCGTGTATATATATATATATATTCTCACTCTCAGGTCAGGTACTACTTATACCCACTATTCGTCGGAGAGACTCTCTCCTCTCACTCTGTGGCCAGAGATTAGTAGGCTCTGGCACAGAGTCTGCCTCGATCACGCCGACTTTATCATTTTGGTAAAAAGATAGCACGCGGTGTAAGATATACGTGAAATCATGCGTACCTAGTATAATTATAGTAATCACTTGCTTGTAATATGGCAAGCAAAATAGAATTGCTCTGGAAGCAGGCGCTCAAGTGTTTCACAGGATGTCAGATCCCTGGTTACGTGTTTTCCTCCAAGAATTTCGAGAAACTCACTAATTTGATGAACGAAATAACTGCAGAGGACGTCAGTGTGAATAAAAATATGTTGGACTTTGTGAAAGCTCAACCAGCACCCATGTGTGCAATCGATGTGTTTGAGAATCAAGACATTACCATTGCTGTGTTTATCTTGAAGAGTGGTATGACTCTACCTATGCACAACCATCCAGAGATGCATGGTTTGCTGAAGGTATATACACTGAATATGATTACTTTTTGGTGATTTTTTTTTAGCATTTCTCATAATGGTTTTATACTTATTTATTAGGTGATAAATGGTGTTGTGAAAATAAACAGTTACACCTTTGAGACACAAGATGATGAAAAAACTCTAGAGTTGGGCAGAACAATCTCAGTAACCAAACATGCACCAGTCACTGTCAGATCAACTGATCCTGCCTGTGTTTTGACACCAATTTTAAAAAATATTCATGAAATCACATGTCTGGAAGGTCCAGCAGCTTTTCTGGATGTCCTTAGTCCACCTTACGATATTTTAGGCAAATACGGTGAAAAGTCGAGATTGTGCACATACTTCAAAGTACTTCAAGATGATGGAACGACTGACAAGGTACAGTTGGAAGTTACAAACGTACCTCTAGACTTTTATTCACATAGTATAATGTACTTGGGTAAGCCATTGTCGTGATTATAAAGTAGTAAAGCTCTATGCTGTGCATTTTAAGAAAAATGGATTGTCAAAATTTTTTTTTTACTTGTCATTTATTTATGTAAAAAAATAAGATCTTGTTAAGTAGGTATAAAAAGATCTTCATAAAATTAATCAGTTGTCGGTAATTTTTAACATTAATTTCCCGATAGTTATTGAACAATTAATATTTATGTAAAAAACAAGAAAAAAAAATTGAACGTTGTTGGAAGAAATATTGAAGTCTATCAAAAATATACCGATCACGAAATTTTTTATAATGTAAATTGAGCAAGTAAAGACAACACAAAAAACTTATGTTGAAATAAGTTTGAAAGAAAGATAACATAGAAAAGAAATTATTGTTGTTGGTGAATTGAACTTTGTAGGTTTTTTTAACTTGAAAGCAACTTTTCAAGTCCAGTCATAACAAAAAAGACTGCAATTTTTAAATATCTCACTACATAATGCAATAGATATTGAAAATGAACACTTTTATTTCTATTGTACATAGATAAGAATTATTAATCTTATTTTTTATTTTCTTGTTGGCAGTATTAAATTATACATTGTTTTTGTACACAGTTAAGGAAATTTGTACTCTTTACAAGTAGATTGACCTAATAATGTATAATGTTCAAATAATTCTATTATTTTTTTAATAGAAAAAGTACAAAAGAAACATAAAAAAGCATATATACGTGTTAAGGCGATACTGTAATTATGACAAAGTGTCGCTTAACAAATATCACCTTGAATGTTAATGATATTTCTGTACTTATCAATCAATTGAAATATTATGCATTTCGATCAAATTTTAGTGTACTTATAATTAGGTAGAACTATTTTTATGTGATTGCATCGTGAAGTTGTTGTGTGTGGAAATAATATAGTCGTGTTTTAAAATAATAAAAATACCCTTTAGTTAAGAAGAGTGCAAAGTGGTTTTACAATGTACAAAACGATTGGTCAGAAAAAGCGAATAAAACCAACGATTCGTTTTAAAGATGAATTTTACATTTTTTACCTGTACCCCTATTGACCAATTTTAATCATCCAAAATATTATAAGTAAGAATTGGCTGTAATCACAGACTTTTCTACTAGCAGAAATGTGTAAAGAAAAACAAAGCTAATAATTACAATGAAAAAAGTTCAAATAATTTAAAACCTTATGGCTGCTCAAAGTTGAACTTATTTGTAGCATTATTGCTACATCAAACTTTGCGGTTGGAATATTTTATGAATCTGTTAATCAGTAATGTACTCAATGGATTTATGAAACACAGCGTAGCTCTACAAGGATTCAATTAACTCTGTAGCAACTTCCTCCTCAACAAAGGGCAACTGCACAGAGTCCTTACACTCGATTCCCTTATCATTATTATCTCCCGCCCTCACGGAAAACAATTGTGCCACCGAGTCCATAATCCACTAGTAGCTTTTGGTAGATAGTTTCTTTTTATTGCTTGGCTCTTTGGTGATGGCGTCGGAATTGTTGTTCTTACAGCAAGTGCCGCACTTTGGAGACTTTGATTATCCTGGCTTTGTAGAGTTGCTACTCATTTTATGTTTTGCATTTGTCACTTTAAGTTTGTGGCAACCACAAAAAAATACAGCATTTAGCGTGAGGTAAGTTTTGAAATGTCAATAAAGGTGTCAATGAACTTATAACATTTAAAGCTTGCAATAATATTGTGTATTTATATTACATGGATCTATGACAAACGTATTAATCTGTACTGTTTTGTAATTCATTTATACGGGAACATACAATTTTATTTTCATCTAATTAATAATGTTATAATACGTATATGTACAGTTGTTTATTTTCATTGATATTGTATTATTTATAAAATAACTTTGAACATTTTTTAAAAACTGTTTTGGCAACTAAGAAAAATATACTCGCTTTATACATGAAAAAATTGTAAACATTGTGCAATCCAGGACAACGTTGAATCCTAATAAAATTGGCCTTTTCGTCATAGAAATATTTTCTTTTCACAATTTACAAGACCGCCTAGCTTTTCGCAATTTCTTATTTATACATCAATGAGTATCCCCTTCTTAAAAATAATAGTAAAGAGCAAAACATGAGTTACTTAGTAAAGTAAGTCATACAATTACAATTGATTTAAATAGATAAAACGAATTTAAACAATTTTGACATTTATATATCATATAGAAATGTTGTTTCAAAGATTTTACTTGTATATTTAAACTTTCTGGTAAAGAGAATTCTTTAAAAATTTTAATTAGACCTACCTAAGAAATTCCTCAAAAGCTTTTAAGCAATAAAAAAATTTCTAATCAAAATATATTCACTTTGTTTGGAAAAAAAATTCCTGCACCTAAATTTAAGTTTACCGTCCCTAACTAAAATTTGACAAGAGAACAAAGTATATTCTTTAATACCATGCTAGAAATTGTTTAACAGGATCGTCTGCATACTTTTTATTCTCAACTATTTTATTGTATCCCGCAAGATTTATGTATAATAAACTTCTTCAATTAGTCTGAGTCTCAGAACTCCTTTGTCTACTGTACATCGCTACATTGGCGTCAGTGTAATCCATTATGCGCCTTTGACGTTGTCTTATGTATTGTTGCTGCTTGTGGTAAATTTTGAAAGCTCCTTTGATAGTGATAAAAGCTACACCACCCTATAACAATCGGACATCTTTTCATGAACATTTCAAAATCTTAAATAGCACGACTTTCTGATTGCGTTTTATGCTTACCAATAAGGTTCGCTGGAAGTTTGAGTGTATACTATAAAAAAATATTCTTCCACAGATAGTGGCAATTGTAGGTAAAAGCAAGGCTCCACATAATACTCTTGTAGCTGAGACCGGATCAGTCATTGGAGGAATATCTTGAGATTGTGCTACTTCTTCCTCAGGACAAGTAGTCCTGGTAACAAATCAAAATATCATTATTACCAAATGTTATCTTTGCTTAAAAAAATTGATTTTCAAACAAGTGTAATGCCATTGAAACTCACTGTACTTTAACGAAGCGTTTCAGAAACGGGATTTTACAAGCATGTCGCCGGTAAAAGTTAAGCGCCTGGTCCTCCCAATCGAGCATCTTGCCCAGAACAAGCATAATAGGGATAGTGGGCAAGCCAACGAGAAGAACTAGAGGATCCGCCTGCTCCATGAGCGATAAACCGTCTTTATGGCCAATCACTTGCATCACAGTTACGGCACCGTACGTAACTGCCGTCCAGTATACACAGCCTACAACAATGCCCGCCGCGATTAACGGACAAACTCGGAAGATTAAACCATCGATCGTATCAAGGATTACCACCAGCATGCCTGAAAAATAACGATACGTGATGAAGGAAAATTTTATTTTTCAGTCAAGTTATTAAAATAAAGTTTTTTGTTTTACCCATATTGGGATATACTATGATATACTCTGTATTGCACTGCGGGCAAGCGACGTGAGTATTGGCGCGTCCCTTTTGTTTCTCATCGACCCAGCGTTGAATACAACGCTGGTGCACCCATTTTGCCGTGCCCCGACAGTGACAAGGTTTTACCCATGGCGCAGTAATGTCATCCTCGTCTGTTGCAAAACACACCCAACAGTACCTTTTGCTGAAAACAAATGTACGATAAACAAAAAAGTATACACTCTCGGAATAATTTTGATTTAAAAAGCTTACTCTTCATCAGAACTCAGTTGTGGAATGCTTGCTGTCGTCTGATTAGGAGATGATGCTCCATCGGTTATGTCAGATGACAAATCTTGATCTGTCACATCTGATGTGGTGTTACCTGTTAAGTCATCTGAAACTTAGAATAATCAAAAACGACACCAATCAACATCGGATTTATTTATATCAAGGTACACAAAAAGCACACAAACATACCAAAGGTTGAATCCAGCGTCCCATGATCACCTTGCCTGCTCAAACTTGAACTGAGCCTCCTGAAAGCCTCCTCAAGACTGGGCAAACGTCTCACGTTGGGATTCACATTACCGCTAGGCTCTACTCCAACAAGCCTGCCCTGCTGGTCGAGGTAATAGGAGGCATGTGGCGTACTGCTGTTTGACATCTTTTCTTGTCTTTAACTTTCTATTATCAGATCATTGTTTACCCTACAAGAATTTTTAAATCAATGATTAACAACTCCACAAACTGGTTTCACTCAATTAAAAATTCACGCTCGCGAAAGGAGGAAGTATTGCAAACGCAGAAGGTCAAAGTCACAGAATTTTCAACTCTTATCGCTCAATGGCTCTTTTTCAATTAATACACATTGTGCAAACGAAACCTTATTCTCAATTTATATTGTACTGGTGAAAATAAATAAAAAACAAAAAAACGCAGGGATAAGGCAGAAGCCAGAATTATATGAAACATACCGACGTGTACACTTGCCTACTCCCCTACGTAGACGAAGGCAAAATGTTAACAAGGAGCAATTCAAGCTCGTTGGCGTTTTTTTGCCCGTCTCGTACTTTTGCAGAATGCAAAAATCTTTGAGCAATGGGGGGAGACTCGAGAGAGAATACAAATGCGAAAAATAAAAAATACAAGAGGAGCGCGCGACGTGACCCCGAAAAGTAAAAGCCAATGCAGAAGCCGATACGAAGTGTTGCTAAAATTGATATGATGATGGTCTTTTGCACAGGAAAAAGAAAACAGAGAGCCAAGGACGACAGGGCAAGAACATTGTACGCATATGTGTGTGCACCTTATACGGATGAACCACTTACCTACTCAGATTAACGCGACAAGGATGCTGATGATAATATATAATGATGATGCAGTATCAGGACAATAACTCATCAGCTCTTTCTCTCTCTTTTTTTAGCTTTCGACTCTTGAGGATAAATTTTAAAAACTGGGTGTTTTTCTTCACCTTCTGGTGTTTCCTCGAATTATCAGTCAATCGATCCAATGCACTTTTTTGTCGACGATCAAGTATTCAAGTATTTTGATATCACGCATGATATCGCATAAGATGTACGTTGTTGGTATGTATTTTTCGGACAAACTCTCTCGCGTTCACCATTACAACTGTCTGCAACGGACGACGACGGACACAGCGCCACCACGTACGTCGTTGTAAATTCTTCACCTTGCACATCAAATAATATATCTTATCTGTACCTATATATATGCAAGTGAAGTGAATAGAGTTGGATGATATTTCAAGTAAACATGAGAATGATTCCATAATTCGCTCTATGACATGGAATTCATAACTTCTAAATTAAAATCTAATGCAGGTAATACGTATAAACTGGTCGCAAGCTGGAGGGTCAATTTGGAGGAAGTGGAACATCCCTTTTTTTTGTTCAGGATTGAGAATTAAGGAGAGCAAGATTTTTCTGAAGCTTCACATTTTACGAAACTCGATCGTTGTTTCAATCAAATGTTAAATAGCTTTTTGATGAGTAACACAATCGAAATTTTATCAAATAATATATGTTTTATTTGAAAACCTGCCTATGTAATTAATATACAACTCTCGTAACTTGGTACTTACACGAATATTACACGATCGTAAAAATAAACAATGATCGACCAATTTTTAACAGCATCGTCATTTCAATTTTTGTTTTTTAATCATCTTGAGTTCATGCTGCTGCATCGCAGCTTCGCCGAAGATTTCCTTGACCTTGCGCTTGCGCTCCTCGTCGGCGGAGATCTGCTCCTTCAGCTTCACCTTGGCGAGGAAAGCGCTGTCACGGCGAATTTCACGCATCGCGCTCTTCCTCTCATTTTTCAATTTTGTTAATAACTTTCGTCGCTCCAACTGTTGTCCTGTCAAATTTGCGCGCTTCTTACCGTCGTACCTTTAAAAGAAAAAAAAAAATTTTCATAAGGATGACGCAAATTTATTGTATTTCAAATTATTGCGTTTAATCACGTTAGAAATCATACTCACACTTTCTCTATTTGTGGTTCTATCATCCTAAGGGCTTTAGGTTTCTTTTTGTTAAACTGAAGATACTCCAATTTTTTCTCTTTCAACTTTTCAATTTCACTAACTAAGAATTTGATCTTTTTCCTAACTTTTTTTGGGTAATATTTCGCAGAACCGCAAGTTAGCAAATCTAATATGGGCTCAAAAATTGTATAAACAGCGTCAAGTTCGCTACACTGTGCAACAAACTCACACAATAAATTGATAGCTGTAAAGAATGTTCTAATTCTAAAATCATCGTCCATTTCTTCTTCCATAAGATCCTTTATGTTCATCTTTGAATTTTCTGGGTCAAAGTCAGTTTTTTTATGACTCTCTTCTAGCACTAATAAGTTGCTAAAATCCCCAACTTGTTTGAATGGTGGGATGACTTTGAGGTGTTTCGAGAAAGGTTTTGGCAATGAAATGTAGATAACACCACGAAGAAAGTTGACAACTTCTGGAGACCATCTTTTAGTTAGTACAGTATACTGAAAAAAAAGATAAATATTTTTTTTTTTAACTTGATCCATTATGTTTATTTATACATTTTCGATATTCAATAGGTGTTTTAATAACTGTTCAATTAACTATTTAATAAGTTAACTTACTTCCAAGATGAGTGTACATACAAATATACCTTTGGTAATGTCACTTTTTTTTCGAACTTTACATCTCAGTAAAATTTGTGACATAAAAACCAAACATGGTGTGACAATTGGATGTCTGAAATCCGACGTTGGATACAAAATAGACACCAATTTAAAAAGCATGAGCTGAAATGAAAATATAATTATTTTGAAATCAATAATTTTTCATGCCGTTTCTAAAATATTTTATTACAGTATCTAATCCAGGATAGTACTTGATCCTTTTTTCAAACTGTTCATGTTTTAACTTTAGAATGTCTCGCAAGCACGTTTTAGTTTCTTCAATATTGGCATCTCTCAAGTCATACAGCTGTGGACATAATCTATCAAAAATATTAAAAAATTCTAGACGTTTTGGTAAACTTTTTGCAGTTGCACAATTATCTAAATGCTGAAGTAAAAATTTAAACAATTTCAACATTTTTTCTCTGTTTTCGTTGGATAATTTGAAATTATTGCATTTTATAATTCTTTCAACTATAACAGATTGCTGCGTTGAATCTCTATTTTTTAACAAATCCAACAATTCTTCATAAGTTTCTGGTGCTTTGAAGGTGTAGGGCAACTCTTTGCGTGCCTTTTCTAATTTTGCTTTCCTTTTTTGTATGTCTACACTAGTTTCGCTATATTCATTTTTTAACAGAGTTTTCACTTCCTCACATGGAAAAACATCATCACATGCATTAGTTTCATTCTCTACAATTTCAGAACTTTTTTCAGTAACCTCATTTTTCGGCACATGGGCTTCTTTTTTTTCACGCTTTTTTTCCTCTTTTTCGTAGTTTTCTTTGTATTTTACTTCATCTCTTTCTTCATCTGATTCTGATTCAGAAGCTTTTAAATCGGATAAATTGTCGTCTGATTCATTTCCAGATCCCTCTTCCTCCTCACCACCTGATTCATCATCACCTTCCTCGTCATCACCTTCTTCTTCATCACCATCTTCTGCATCACCATCACTTTGAGTATTTGAACCTTTTTCATCTCCATCATCATCGTTTTCACTATTTTCATTATCTTCATTAAGTTTACCATTTTTTAAGATTCCTTGAACATCCTCTTTTTCCTCATCATCTGAATTTTCTTCAATGGTCTCGATTTTAAAATCATCTAAATCATCAGCTGATCGATGCTTTTTCTTAAAGTCATCCTCATCTGAAAATCCCTTCATCCTAGCTATTCTTTCAGCTGTGAGCTTTTCTAGCTTACTTTCTTCTTCTTGGGCAATTTGTTCCTCTGACTTAAGCTTATCTGTAGGATTTCCTCTGGCTTCAAACTTCATTTCCCTCAGAGCTCGGTCGTAGTCATCAATTTTTTCTTCTTCAACATCATTTTTAGACGCTTTAGAGGACGCGAGCAGCGGCATTAAATCTTTCCACTCTGAATCCAACTTTTCTGTCAATTGCAAAGTCTTTTCTTTGGTCATCTGTCTCTCAGCCTTGCGCATCTTGGACTCAGCAATCAGCTGACTTATTATATCGTTTCTGGACATTTCGGATTTTGGCTTGGATAACATGCCACCACCAAAATGCGCCTCTTCTACAAATTTTTTGCCCAAATTTCCTGACTTTTCTTCATCACTTTCCTCGTCACTCTTAGGGTCATCATACTTCTCAATATCAATCAAAGCCTGGCCTCTGTGAGTCAACATTTCCTCATCATTCAGGTTGTATATGTTCTTCTTCTGAGCCTTTATTCTTTCATGAGTGAATCTAGCCATTGCTTTGTCCTCTTCTGTCATGCCAGCATTCCTCTCTCCGATTCTTCTGTCGAGGAACAAGTTATCCTTGTCCCTGACCTTGTACTCTACGAGAAGTGTGTTTTTACGTCTCTCAATACCTTTTGCTCTGGATATGCCCGGGAGGCCTTTTTCATTTTTCAATTTTCGACCCAGAACCTGCTTTTTATCTTTGAAGGCATGCACCTCAAAAGGCGAAATCGTTTTTTTCACCAATTGGCGTTCCTTACGTCTTTGGGCATAAGTGTCAGCCAAGTTTTTCCTTTTGTTTTTAACCTTTGCCATCGCTGGTTTAGAAACTGAAAGAAATTTATTTAATTATTCGTATCCACCATGTAGAGAAACATAACCTTACAATTCGAGAAATACCAGATCAATGGTTTTCTTGACCTGTAACATACACTTACACTTTCAGAAATACAAATCACTTGATTTTTTAGATCACTACAATGAGCTTTATTAAGTAAGAGTAGTTTTTAAATTATACGTACGATAAAATGTAAATACTTGAGTGTAAACACACGGGGGGAAGCGGTGTGTGTGTATAATGTATACATGCACGTGCAGACTTTGCAGACGGCGTGTGCAGAAGCGGCACGATGAAGTGGCGCGAATTTTAAATTTCGATGCAAACTTAAATTGGTGATGGAAAGGAACAGAGCAAAGATTAATGAAAAATTGAGACGATATTAACTTTGATAGTATATTAGGTTACTTACAATTTGAGTTACAGAAGAATTTTTTGCTTACAGCTTATTATAATTTTTTACTTGAAGTCGAGCTTTTTACGTTTTCCTCTTTGGCATGAAATCGGTCTATTTAATCTTTTAACAAAGTAATTTTTGGATCTGACGGCTTTTTTTTTTTTTTTTTTTTTTTTCAATGGGCTTAGTTAAAAAACAAAATTCAACACAATTGTATAATTTTCATTTAAAAATTTCATGATCGCATAATAATATGGTGATTAGTATATTATTTTATATCGTAATAATGTATATTTACAAATTATGTTGACCACCTCCTACCCTCAAAATTCTCTTAAATACATGTGTATATGTACAGTAATGTATTAATTTCTTTTTTTTTTTTTTCTTTTCCTTCGAATGTATAGAAATACAATTGTTGCATGTATTATTATTATTTCACGTGCGCGACACATCATTCGGCTTTTCCCTTAAAAAATCATCAGCTCCAAAAACTTGCGCTCAAAACCTTCCTCGTTACAACTATTATCATGTATAATATCATGTATATACGTGTAAGACGAGTAAGTATTACATATCATCGGAGTAACAAAAATACTGCATGAGTTTATCTTCGGCTCGGTGCTCTCGACAAAAGCGCTAAAAACAAGCCCTCGAAAATCATCGTGGCGTTAGTCCTCCCGTTTGCTCTCGTTTACAAAAAAATAGTTTTCCTTCCAATTGTTCTCTGCTCGTGGAAAGCGACACATTTTGTTTTTCAAAAAATCGGCAGAAGCCTTGGTTAAATTTTTTTTTTTTTTTTTTCTATTTATTTATTTTTGCATTCGTTGACTGCATTGCTTCAATCGAACTGAATTAAAGGATCATTGGCTGCGTCACCTGCTTAGCTTTGATTTTTATCTTCCTCGTGTATTTTACTGTTTATTATTACTAGTTGATAATTAATAATATTAATTTTAGCGCCTCAATGTGATTCCTACGTTATTTTTATGGAGTAGTGCAATATTATTTTTATCTTTATTTTCATGTAGTTTTCATACAAATCTTACAAACGTTTTGACACGAGAAACTCGTGAAATTGAAAAAAACATATATAAAATCAACTTATTTGTGGTAATTTTTTAAAACTCATACAAGAAGAAAATTACGAAAGCAATATGTAAATTATATCGTCGATCCAAAAATTACCCAGTGGATACTATTGCGAAGATTTTATTGATATTTAAATTTTCAAAACTCTTCCTTCCTTGAACTCCTATGGGCTCGTAAAATTCGCTACTTACTATATGAGATATGTGTAATTTTAGCCATTGCTACGTTAAAAAAAAAAAAAAAAGATGTTTCAATGAGTTTCCAAGGGTTTTTCTATTTCTCACAATCAACCGAACTAATTAAGCTTCATATTTTTATTTTGCAGATGTACTATAGTTTGAAAGTTTTATTTTTCCGAAAAAAAATTAATTCGACTACTCGTAAGCTTCATTACGTTTCTAAACTAAGATATTTCATTTCAATGTAATTCTATTACTATTCATTGAATGACTCATTGGTGAGTAATAAATATTTTTGGTTCTCTTATAGAAAATGAGACATGGAAAGTTTGGAAAAACTTTCTCATAATGTCGGTATTGTGTATATTATACGTAATGAAAATCGTAGCTAATACTGATACATAATATACGTAGGTACCATAGTATCTAGTCTAATGTAATGATATTTTTTTTCGAATTACAATATATATATTGTGGAATATCATATGTGTTAAATCATTTAATACTCTGGAAGCTTTGCTGTTGTTGTAAAAGTACGTATCAACGCACAATGTAATCATCAACGATATCACAACGAGGAATTTGTAATTAACATAAAAAAAAAAATGATTGGACATTCAATTTTCCACCGCAAACAAATAAAAAAATAAACGAAATACAATATTGCGCCTTAATTACTCTTAAACTCGGTAACCTCTACATGTACCATCAAAATCTCTTTCGATCGTGGTATACATATACTGTACATTTTATTAAGTTTTAATTCTCGGTAGAAACAATACTCGCTTGTAAAGGCCACTGATTAAACTTGGGTCTCCTTTTGCTTTGCCTTGCCCACACATGCGCGCTATCATACAAAGTATCATGCAAGGGCACGTATTTTTTCATCATTTAACGAAAAAAAAAAAAAAAAAAACAATCTTCGAATCACAAAATGATGAAAAATTAAACGAACCACACTCGAATAAGTAAATTTCTCGACGTATTATACTTTCATGTTTCACACCCACACTTACACATACATCACTCCCAAAACACGTTAAATTAAAAAAAAAAAAAAACGAAATGAGTACTCATCATGTCGAGGAATACGTATATATATATTTATACATGCTTACTTTTATACGTGGACGAATTATTTCAAGTGATGAGTTATCTTCATTACTCAAAGCGAGCGCTCAATCGCCCTTACGATTAACTTTCATGTCTGCGAATACAGCCTGCAAAACCGTAGAAGGACTCGACCATTAACAATCGGTGCGCTTGTATATTTTTTTTTTTTTTTTATGCATCACTGCGACACTGAAAATGCACGTAAAAATTCGAGCTCTTTTTTCGATGGTGGAAAAAAAAAAAAAAAAAAAAAATTATATCCGAAAAAGAGTCAATAGTAGCACATGCGTCACAGTGATTTATTACAATATATGTTTAATTGTATAAACGACATAAAAGTGTTAACAGGTACATCGTGAAATTCTGCATCATCGCCGTGGAACATCTGTAGTCACTTTTTGTATCATCATCGCCATCATCATCGCATTGACTAGAAAATATATCTCGCCAAGAAATTATTCCCAAAGCCATCCGCACAAGTACTTTTTCGTGCTTTATTTATACACATTATATCGTACGTACTAATTTATATAGTAAATCGTAGAAGGTTTTATTTCTCTATTTACAACGAGACAGACAGAGATAACATCAAGACGCGCGATGGATTATTTTTTTAATTTTCTTATTTTGTGCACACGATGAGTATGACCACACTCGATTTCGTTTTCTTCACCATCAATGTCCACTGAGGAAGATAATATGATTTTATCTTTGTTCGCGTCCAATAATCGCGACATTCTTACTCTCTATTCGTATTGTTGTATTATTATTATTATTACAACTAATTTTGATTCGAGAAGAGTTTGATGCACATAATCATTACCTTATACGTACAATATAGCATCAACTTAATTAATTGCTTTACGAAATTTGTTGGCACTAAGAAGCTTTCGACAAATAATCTGTATTGTTTCGATATAATTCAAAGCAATAGAAACAACATCATTTGTAGGTACTATTGCTTCTTTAACTAATGATATTTAAATCGCAGTCGGGGGAGAGGATCGAAAATTATCCATCCAATTAGAAGACAGTGTGGTTGTGTCGTTGAAACTTTGACCAGCGTTTGATTTTTTTTTTTGTTTTTTTTTTTTTTTCACCGTAGATTTTTAAATAAATTTTATGTACGCATCTGGAGCTCGTTAGTCTAGCGAGTAGATTTTTCTCGATACACGTCTTTGGGGTATCGCGAAAATAATCAACAAATTGAGCGCCTATTGTACATGATTAGTTTTACCACCATTTATTTAGTGCCCAAACTAAGGAATGAGCGTGTTTGTCGAGAAATAAAGATAACAGAGCGAGAAGGATCGAAATGTTCATTTTTTTTTTTTTTTTTTTTTTTTTTTTCATTTCCTTTTCTTTTACCTCATAAAGTACGATGATTTGCCAACTTGTTTCTTAATTTATTTATCCTAGTCTCTGGCTCGGTACGTACGATCACATCCTGGTCATGTATATGCTCTTCCTAGCGCAAACTTCTTTTTTTTTATTTGTGAATTTGAGTATTTTGAGGTCTATTTGTCATTGGTATAATTATATTTATTTTTCTATTATTTACTCCGGAATTGTCGGGAATTAGTATTTGTAGGTATACGGCTGCTGAATCTAACTTTTTTTCCGTTTCATTTTTTCCAACAAAGTACTTGTCTGACAGACCGAAAAAAAATGTTTATTTAATTTTGTATGATATTTTAGTTCTTTAAAGGATTCGTGTTGACGAAGATGAATCAACATTAGGCATGTTGTAATCCCACTTTTTTCTTCGGGGATGATTTTGCCAGTAATATTTTTTGATAAATTTAGTCAAACAAACTTGGTATACGAGTGATTTTTTTTTTTTTTTTTTAATGGTAATTTAATCCGCGGAACGTTGAAAAAATTTTTTGTTACCCTCAAAGGTCGTAAGTCTATCTTCTGTTTTCTTATATGGTAGTTCGAATTTTCAAAGGAAATACACTAAAGATAGGAAATGTAGGCAGTATCATTTGGCATCTAACTTTTTACACCCTAAATGCAATGGAGTTTTTAAACCTTTTCGTATTTACCGTTTACTCGATAAAAAGAAGAAGAAAAAAATTTCCACGAAATCCATCCCATCGAATGCAACAAACGCTTGACCTTCTGCCTTCGTTTTAAAATAATGAAGTAAGTACACAAAGACTGGCACTTTTGAAAAACTAGCTCGTTACTCTAATTTATCATACATGTATATATTACTATAAGCAATGTAGGAAAATGTTGCTGTCCAGGAATTTTAGTTGTAGTTTATAATCCTACTCTTGCAACATTACATAGGTATAGGTACACATGACATCTTGTGCACGAGTTATTATTCGTATATAAATACTATGTGTTGTAGATAGTTAATTATTTAGTAACGGGAGTTTGTTTGATTTACAAAATACAATGTTGCAATGGACGTGAAATGCGGTGCGAAAAAATAGTTTCCCTTAGTTCTAGTGAGTATGGGTTTTATACCCTCCGATACGTTTTTATTTACTCGAATGTGAGATGTACTTTGAAACAATCGATACTGAGTCGAAAGTAATTCTATGCGGAATAATTGACCATAGTCATGTACGGATTATTTTTCATTCATTTATTTATTTATTTTTTTTTTTTAAATGTCATTAGAGTTAATGTAAACCAGCCTGCAAGCAGGTATATGCATATATCTCTGCAGGGTTGCGAGGGAACTCATATGTTTTTGTTGCTCTGTATATTTTGTATACTATGGTTAAAATAAACTAACAAAAATAAGTAAATAAATAACATTCATTTGGCCGCTAACTATTATATCGAAAATATAAGAGTAGACACACAATTTTAAAACTATAAAAAATAAATCAAGCTTTAGCTTAGTAAGATTTTTGCTCTTACCTGCTTGTCTCTATTCTGTGGCTATGCTTAACTGTTTTTTTTTCTCTAAGTACATTTTTAACCTCATAAACANAAAAAAAAGAAAACCTCAACAACCCTCGAGACCGAGGTGCACCTCGGCGCTACCGGCCTCGGGATCGGCATCGTTGGGATTAGCGGGAACGAAATCACGAAAGAGGTAATAAACAATGGTGTCGAAGAAAAAGACACCCTGGGTATCAGAGTCGCACTCGGTCGGTTTAACGTACGCCGGTTCCCGGAACTCCGTCACAATGACCACGGAGCCAGAACGGAAGCCGACGCACGCTTATAGCTACGTGGACGCGGCGAGGCTTATCGACGTTGACTCGGTAACGGCCGCGCGGGGCTTCGGGTCCAGGGAGTTGTACAGCGGGTACTCGCAGCAGAGCAGGAACTTGAGGAACCACGGCACCTCCGAGTAAATGCCCGGTGGTATCGGTATCAGGGGCGACGTCGATTGCTTGTACTGCCGATACTCGGCGATACTGCAACCAACAAATTGCTTGATTTATTTTTCTCTTCTAAAATATATAAATACACACGAAGTGCTACTCACTGCCTGTATCTCTCGTCCGAAGCCTTTTCGAGCAGTGGCATGCCCGAGAGGAAGAGTATGATGATGGTGGTGAATATCGGGGACGCTATGACTATCCACTCCCAGCCTTCGATCACGTTCAACGAGATGACGAATATGCCCCACCAGACGACGATCTCGCCAAAGTAGTTTGGATGCCTCGAGAAGCTCCAGAGACCTGATTCGTTTTTTTTTTTTTTATGGGTACCAACAACAGTTGCGTAAGCAGCCAATTCCGATGGGTCGATTCGACACGTGTTCCCCCCCCCCCCCATTTCCATGGGCAGTGTGCCAACAACGGTGCGAGCGAACAAGAGCACAAGGAGGGTAAGAAAATAAAAATAATAAAAGCTACAGCCCGCGAACCGAGTTACGAGACACGTGTATATAAATATACATACGAGTGGGTTCGGTATATCGGTACAACCGATCTCTTCGACCTCCACTCGTTGTGTACGTATTATATGCACGATTGTCAAGGGATGATGCATGTATTGGTAAACAGAATGAGGGATCTTACCGTCGTCGCACCATTTGCCGTCGTTGACGGGATCGGCCTTGAAGGCGAACTTTTGCAGGTCCGCGTAGGTCTCGGCCAGTAGGCCGACGATGAACAGAGCCGTGCCGGCGCTGTCGAGGTTCGTCATAGTTTTCGGCGACGGGGGTATCTTGTTGCGGGGCGAATTTATTATGATCACCGGCAAACTCACCACGTACACCCACACGGCCTGCCATCGGATTATCGATTTTTATGGGGTTTATGTTTTGTTGATTCGATCGAATGTGCATGCATATACCTGGAAGGACCAGAATACGGCGAAGCGTATGACGTTGCTCCGGCGATCGTCGAAGCGCTTGTCCCTGCCGATTTGGTAGATGCGGTAGAGGAGGTACGAGGAGAGCCGGAAACCCCACAGGCAGACGAATATCGTCACCATGAGTTGGCGGCTGTCGTACGTCTGGAAAAACGCCGAGACGGGGGGAGGGGCAAGGATATAGGGGAGGGGGTGCGTTTTAGTTTTATCTTCTCGATGATCATCTTTTGATTTTTTTTTTTTTTTTTTTTTTTTTTTTTTTTTTTTTTTTTTTTNGCAATTCCATCTACGGGCATTCGCCTATTGAATGATAGTCGGTATCAGACGCTGCAGAGTATCGCTGCGGTCGAATTGATTTTAACTTTGCGTGATGTAGGTTTTTTTTTTTTTTTTTTTTTTTTCCTTCAGCGATTCGACAGGATCATATAGATGATAAAACATTGCGGAAGGGAAATTTACTTTGGCAGTGTGCAGCTGGGCGTTGGGGATTCTTATATTTTTTTATCCTCTTGAGTTCACGGAAATATTTTTAGGAACGATAAGACCTCAAACTTTGGTATCTGTAATCTTGTGTTTTAGACTAGGGAGCCAAGTAAAGTGCAAATTGTAGGATACTCTATATGAGTCACATTTGAAGCGTAAAACTGTACCAATTCAGAGGTGCCGTGTTTTTCACAAACTTCGAATCTAGTACTCGGTCGAAAAATAAAGCTGGAAAGTCACGATTAATAAATCTATTGTCAAACGCATTGATAATTCAATTTTAAAGAGCTTTTCGTTATAGGTATATTAAATATTAAATGTGAACGCAAATTGAGTTGAAGGGTAAAATTACAGTATTGAAAAACAATGATATTTGAGCTTTTTTTTTTTTTTTCTAAGCCATGGTCTCCAAAGTTTCGAGGTCTTGTATTCACAAATATATATTTCTGTATAAGCTAATTATTGAAACACATCGATTGGCAGTACTGGTTTTTTATACGGATGCAAGGCAAGAAATAGCGATTACGTGTACATAAATGATAAAATCAGAGATATCGGTAAATCTTGCATTCCACATGAGGAAAATTAAGGTGGTATCAATCAACAGTGCAAGTGGATGCGGTAAAGCTCACGCACGAGAAGCAATCACTTAATCGAAGATTTTTCATTTTGTTACTTCGTGAGTGGTGTTTTTTTGAAAAGAAAATGAAAAACCTTCAATTACGTGATAAGCAAGCGACTCGCATATGCAGGACAAACAAATGCATGTGCAATCGTGAAAAAAAGAAAATACGTTTGAAACTACAGTAACGGTGAAAATGTATCGCCATGGTATTAGCACAAATGGTAACGCGACTGAAATTAAACAATTGAGCTTTTTTTCGACAAAGGGTATGAAATTTATCCAAATCATAAAAAAGCAAAATGTAATTGTAAAGATCGGAATGTGATTTCGCTCTTTTGGTCGTCGACAAGCAATGGCGTGTAACGGAACAACAAAAATCTTTGGAACAAATTTAAATTTCATGCTAATTTCTCAGGCAGATTGTAAATATTCTTTTGCGGAAGCTGGCCTTGACAATACAAAAAAGCACAATTCGACTGCGCGACAACGAAAAAAAAAAAAAGCCATAATTTTTTGTCGCGTCCAGTCCCGAAAATCAATCGCTACTTCGATAGCTCTGTAGTCATAGCATACATTTTCCATTACTTTTTGAAAAAGATTTTTTGAACGTTTTAAAAGAAAAAAAAAAAAAAAATTACACATTTTTTAATAATGAGTCTACTAAGTCAACTCTCATCTACTTACATATTGTGTGAGCGTGTCTTTACGAAAAACTAAAGAAAAATCATACAGTGTCGTATATAGATGGATAGCTATATGGTTGGTCCTTCTACTTCTGCCAATAATATATTCAACTACAATATCAATAATTATTAATTCATCAATATTTTGTATATATAAACGGATGTGCACCAATGCCATATAATAGACAAGTTCGAAACGTATGCGTGTGTGTGAGGTGCGGAGGAATATAGAGAAGAAAAAAAAAATGTGCTAGATGCTGGCTGTCGGCCCGTTATCCTTGTATTGGCACTGCCGACAAAAAGTCGACGCCATAAATTCATAATGCGCGCGTCCAAAAATCGTTCTCGTGTCTTACAAATCGCACGTTTCCCAATTTTTTTTTTTTTTTTTTTTTTTTTATTTTTTTTTTTTTTTTTTCCTACAATTTTTTTTTTTTTTTTTTTTTTTTCAATTTCTATTTTTATTTCACGTACAATTTTTTTTTTTTTATATATCTGGGCTTTCCGGTTATGCGGGTGTTCCGATGCTGTATCGATTGCGCGTTTCCAGAATAATTGGTGTTGTTTGTTTGGTTTATAAAACCGATGGCTGGGCGAGAATAAATTTTACAGTGCACAGCAGGAACATTGAGCCGATTCCAAATATTAGATTTCACCAATGGTAATTATTATTCAGTTTGATTACTGTGTCGAATGTGAAAAACAAATTTTTCTTCAATAAAAAATGATGCAAAAAAATATCGTAGACACGAAAAAACAAATGTTATATTTTAAAAGACAAAAAACCGTCTCGCCACAAAGTTGTTGTGCATCGAAATAATGGATAAAAAAAATTAACTGAATTTTAATAAAAACAAAAGTTTTAATTTTTTACGAAAGTGCCCATTTGACCATGTTGTAATAATGGCACGCCAAAGAGTATATACAACGCATACGTCGCGCTTGTCATGAACGAGTGGATGCACTAAAGTACCACATTGGCACAATAAGGCTATGTCTATACAAATACATAAATGTGTTCTCTACGTTGCAAGCCTTTTTCTCTCTCTCTCTTCTAAAACTATAATTATTTGTGAAAAAAAAAAAAAAAAAAAAAAAAAATTACTATTATTGTAAACAGTCAAGATTAGCTCTAACGAAAGTATAGTTGTAGTATATATAGGTAGAGATAGTGTACATAAAGCTACAAATATATATGTATAGGTGTATGTATGTGCACAAGAGCGTCAGTATATAATATATGTATTATCAGAAAGAAGGAAACGAGAGTCATTTACGTCTATGTGTCTAATTAAAAAAATCCTCGTCTCGTCGAGAGAATCAAAAACTAAAAACTTTCAAGTTATACACACGAACGAGACGAAAACATATATATATATAAATATAAAAATATATATATACACACACACGTAATAATATACAGATTGTACAAGATATTATATGTATGCAATAAGTATACAATACAAGAATCGATAATTATCCTGCAGAGCTATGAATATCTGCTGGTGCCGGTAGGATGGCGGAATGCCTTCGACTCACCTTACCGACCTGCCCGAGGAAGAAGGTGAGCAGCGCGAGTATCATGAAGTTGACCCCACCGGCGAAATCCGTCAATTTGTCCATCTGGAAGGTAGCGGCGATCGAGAAGAATATCAGCTGCATGCCCACCGTCACTATCGCGCTCACCGCCAGGTGGTCCTCGTCCAGGATGTCCACCGCCATTGCTCCTTGCTTTTGCGATGAATCGAGGACTTTTTTCTTTTTTTTTTTTTTTTTTTTTTTTTTTTTTTTTTTCAATGGGCTTAGTTAAAAAACAAAATTCAACACAATTGTATAATTTTCATTTAAAAANTTTTTTTTTTTTTTTTTTTTTTTTTTCGTTACTGTGAACATTAATTTATCACTTGTGTGAGTCAATATTTACATCGACTCGTCAACCCTTTTCAAATAAATTAAGAATAATCTTTGATTGATCGTACGAAACTTTCACTGTCGTAACACGTAACAAACACGTAACAAAGGTCTTTGATTTCGCACCTTTTTTTTTTTCCTCTAGAGAGACAAATCGTATTTTTCACTTTGTGGCAACACGAGAGGTAAAAAATGCAGTGTGCATTTAATGCATCTATACGTACGTTACGTAAAAAGACTTGAGTCCTATGATTTCCCCCGGATCTTGTGTAAGTAGGCGAAAGTTTTGTGTCCTTCTTTCAAACGAGTTATATAATTGACAGCAGAATCAAAATACTGATGTTACAATTAATCAAAGATCATATTTTTATGTATATTATTCTAAATGTTGAAAAGAATTTTTTTTTTTTTTTTTTAATAATGTTGTGAAAAATATTTATCTGTACATCACATAATACATAGGCGTAATAAGTTGTTGAAGAAAAACTTTTTACTCGATGAGTTTAACTCGCAACATTTTTATCAGATGGTAAAAAAAAAATTCAATTGGCATTCAGTACACATCTAGGGAAAAAAAAAAAAAAAAACTGGAAATAAAAAAATGCCGTAGATCGCGTGCGTAGCGCATTTCTGTATTCATTCGCGTGACACGTAAAAGATTTTTCACGCGCTTCTGCGAGCAAAAAAAAAGTGTAATTTTCAATCCTCCTACGAGTAATAGAGAACCAATCGTCACTACGATTAAAACGAATCATTGAAAAATAATACATTTTCCCAGCTTTTTTACAGTAGATATTTCGGTTACTGAAGGCCACCTCAAATATTATTACCCATACCTCTTTATTTTTTTTACCAACAAGTCGTTATAATTTGACGTGAATTCAACTTCATCGCAATGACGAACAAACCAGAAACAAAGACAATTTCACGCCCAATATGTACCTATTCATTAGCAACGAATTGCCTTGAATAACATGGTATTCCTATATACAATCAATTTAAGGATATTCACTCGGTTTGCGTCCACCAAATCGACGAATCACTTACCGAAACGTGTATCACTTAATCAAATTAATATCATCCCCTAAAAGCGTAAAAGCCCTTTCATACGTGTTATTTTTGTGATGGAAGTAACTACTTGTTTTTTCGCTTCCGAAAAGCAATTTCATACACGGTCGTACCAAAGCCACCTATTCTACACAATTAAATTAAACTCAATTTTACTTGGCAGGTACAAGCACGGTGTAATAACAATTGAAACGACAAGTAATCGAAAAGTATCATTGCGTAACTGAAAAAAGGCCACTTTAGCGTTATCCCAGGGTTAAATCAAGGAAAGACCAGGGTGTCCCAAAATGGATCGAACAAGAGGGATGGACGAATCTTTTCGATTGATGTGAAAAAAAAAGAAAAGAAAAGAAAGAATAAGTCGCGTGCCTCGGGACTCTCGAGATCTCAAACCCCCGCAATGCGATACTACACCCATACACACACACACACACACGCACGCCAGAGAGGCACGTATTAGCCAGCGTATACATGTACGTACGAAGCAAAGCTCAAGCACAAGAAGGCACGTATATACGCGCACCCTGTCGAGGCTTACCTTGGCGCGCGATGAGTCCATTCTCCGAGACCCGCGTACAGCAACGGCTGCAGCACCAACTATCTCTCTCTCTCTCTCCCTTAAACTCTCTTGATCTGGCTATCGACGAGCAACTAGCGCACCAAAACTCGCGATCGCCCCCTGCAAGCTCCCCCGAAAAAACGAGACCATCCTCCCCCCTCCCAACCGCCTCTACACGCGCTAATTGTCACACAAAGGCACGCGGACGTGGGCGTTGATCGACAACTCGCTTGGCCTCGTCAAAACCCGTCTATCGTAAGTCACCTCCGAGTTTTTATTTATTATATCGAGACGTTGTTTGTTCTTTTCCCCCTCGCGGACAGTACGCGAGTTCGCGCGCGCGACACGGAATGCAGGTACACCCCAGTGTTTAGCCAGGGGTAGGCGCGCGCGCACTGCCGTGTTTCGCGGGAGGGGCGGCTCTGGTTATTATACACATAGGCACGTATATATACGAGCGGTACAAAGGTCGTACGGGCCCGTATAAGCACATTGCCGGCGGAATATTATGCGCTTCCCTTGCGCACGATGTGGCTGCGACCACCCCACCCCTTCTGCTAATGTACATATATATACACTTTTGTGATACGTGTGGGGGGGGGAACAAAAAGGGGGGCTGATTATCGAGAGGACTGTTTAACGAGCGCTCGTGCGAGCAACGAACAGGCCGAACTATCTTTTTTTTTTTTTGCTGCGCAAGAATCGTGCTTTTAAAATCAGTGGGGTACATGGGTATGGCTTTTGGTTTTGGGGAAGAGTAAGCCGGTCTCTTGTTCCACTAGTTTCTCGATTCCCGCGCGCGTGTAAAAACAGCCGTGAGAGACAGGAGAGTTGAGCCGGTCTGACCAAAGTCGTCCTGTACTACTTGCAGTGAGGCAACCCAAAAAAGTCATAAATGGCGAGCAAAAAAAAAAAAAAAAAAAAAGAAAAAAAAGGTAGGGTCAACCGTACGATTGTCTAAACACGTATATTATACTTACAACGGAACATCACGAGCCAGTGATCATAATATATAATATACGCGTACATACAACCCTGGAGAACGATAAATCTCTCGGGTTGCACGTGCACTTGTTATACTCCTTGATTTTTAAATGGGCGTGTGTGTGTGTATTCAGTGGTGTGCATAATATATGTTATATATAATGTGCAAACGGTGATAACAATATAACGTACACACGTCGGAGGCGCCCGATTGAGTTGGACACCGAGTGCACCGCCGTGTACATGATTATTATTGTAATAATTCAGCTCGCGATTGTACTGTCGGGGCGAACAACGTAACTATACACGCAAATAAGACGACTCGTTACGTATATATATCTATTCGAGCGCGTGATATACGTCCAGGGGAAAGAAAAAAAAAAAAAAAGCTAAAAGTGTATATGATAAGTAGGGGTGATTCTCGTATACGTATATATTATAAAGTGCGTCGGTCGGGTGAGAAGCTACAATCAGAGAAAGAGAGAGGAGAGGAGGTGGAGGAAAAGGGAGTGTACATATATAGAAGCGGTTGCCGAAATTTCACAACCCCCCCCCCAAAACGCGTGACCGTCACTCCTCCCAGGGGGGGGGCTGCACACGCAAAAAAAAGGTGGGAGCGGCGATGCTTTAGCTGTTTCCCTGGACGTGTGTGCGTATACGGTGGCGCGAATCAATATAAGAGCCGGTAGGGGGGGGGGGAGAGGGAACAACCGAGAGCCGCATGTACGTATATGCACATTTATAACAATTTCCCTCGTTTTCGCTGCTTGTCAACGCGTCCGTCTCTCTACCCAGGAGGTGACGATAGCTATAGCTCGTCGTCCTCCCCCCCTTTGAAATTTCTCGAGGGGGAAAATGACGCGATGTGGCAATAATGACCCTTTTCCTGCTTTTCCCGGAAAGAGTTTAAGGTCGCGGCGTTTAGTGTGCGCCTGCACTTCCCGCTCGCGAGGGGAAAAGTCGTTTAACGCGTGTATATATACATATATATAATACAGAGGGGGGTGAGGTTTCGGCACGTGCGAGAGGGCAAGGGTGATGGATACGCAAAACTCTTCTCGAAGTTGACTCGATGACCTTGTTTTTCTCGAGGAGGGTTGATCACGCGAACACCTCACGTTCAACGACGTGCTTGGAGATGTGGTTTTCAGGTTGAATCTTGGCTATAGGATATGGGTTTTTTTGCAAAAAAAAAAAAAAAAAAAAAAAAATCCGGTATACGATCCAAAGCACTGCCTTTTTTATGTATATGTATCTGAAAAAGAAGCTTTCGTGTGTGTGTATATTGAGAAAAATTTATGCATGTGGAATAACTTTACATGGTAATTCGAGGAACGTCATTGGCTTATCTTTTGCTCCACTTTTATTTTTCATTTGGCTAAATATATACATATATACGTACACATACGTGCGAATCTTGTACTTAGGTAGGTACATATGATACCGTTACGAGCCGTGCCTCTTTTTTTTTTTTTTTTTTTTTTTTTTTTTTTTTTTTTTTTTTTTTTTACGTCTCATCTGACGTGGCGCACGCGATAAGTTTTACGGTCTCTTCGAAAATTTACATGAATCCGAATGACAAGAAGGCGCTTGCGGTGCTAACGCGAGTGTGTAAATGTTATTTGCCGAAGAACATCTATCTTCACTACAGTTTTTTACAGCTTTCGTTCGATTTTGTGGCTGAACATTTTATAACGTGGCTAGGAAGATTTTCAAAAACTCGCGCCCTTTTACCGGCAGTTGATTCCAGCCTCTGTCGGTAATAAACCAAACGATCTAACCGAGCGAGTGTCATATCTAACCTAACCTAAGCCCAAGAAAAAACCGAGAGAGATAGAAAACCCTGAAAGCAGAAGAGAAGCTAGAGAGAGAGTGTGAGTGCAAGACTGTGTGTGTAGCGTACGAAATTGTCTGATGCAACAGCAGGCAACCGAGTGAAAAATATTATACTCAAGCAAAAAATTCAGTCCTACGTATCAGTGAACTTTGGTGTATCTTTGGTTATCCCTAAAAGCCCGTAGATTCTCATCAACATGACGGAAGAGGAATCGGTAAGTCGTTCTGTGATCCAAGGCGAGCCGCCTCCCTGCGGGAACACTCCCCCGTGTCGGCGTGGTGGCCCTAGGTGCTCCGAACCGCAACACGTGTACCCTTTTTTCGGCTCCGAAATCCCGGCATTTCTCGATTTTTCCCCCACGATCGGCTTGGTCACGCTGTTTTCGTCGATCTCTGCAAGTTCTTAAGGGAAAAAGGGGCTGCAAGCTCGGGCTTGAGAAAAAGCTTGAAACGAGGTAAACACAACCTCAAATGCACGTTGCGCGAGAGAGAGAGGAAACCCCCCTCCCTCTTTGCTCTCGCTGCTTCTTTCGTTTTGGAGACGAGGCCGGTTTTTTTAGCTTGTGTCCTCTTTTCGCACGGCGCCTTATGCTTGTGTACGTCACATGATATCTAGTTAGCTGTTATTTCATCCTGTATTAATAAATTTGGAGACGTCGATGATTCATCGTCTGTTTGACGTTTCTCCTTCATGTTTGTTTGTATGCGAAAAGGACACACACGCCTTTTTTTGGTTTCAATATACTTCATTGCTTGAAGGCATTATTAAATCATTGACACAAACTTTCTTCATTGTCGAATGTGCGATGAAATTAGAAAAAAATTGTTCGAGCAGAGTCGGTTACATCAATAATTTACCTTGCAGATGTTTGATCCCAAACTCACAAAAAAGAAAAAGAAGAAGAAGACTGGCTTTGATTTGGATGCAGCAATGGATCTTGATGGTGGTTCCGCACTCAATGATGCAAATGAAAATTCAAAAGCAGATAAGGAAAACATGGATGTAGAGCCTGCACCAGCAGAGGAAGAGGAAGCCTTAGATCTTGAAAATTTTGGCAAAAAAAAGAGGAAAAAGAAAAAGTTCAATCTTGAAGAACTTGATGCAGCTCTTCCTGAAACAGGAAAGAAAGAAGTACGTTTCCAAGTAATATTTCAAAAACTGACTACTGAAAGTATCTATTAAATGTGAATTTAAGTCTAATAATTCCTCTTTTTTTTTTTAAGGATGATGTGGAAGAAAAAGCAGACGAAAATGAAATAGAAGAGCTAGACTTGTCCATTGACTTTTCTGTACCTTTAAAAAAGAAAAAGAAGAAGAAGAAGGATTTGGACGAGTTGATGGCTGAAGAACGCAAGGAGAATGAAGCCAATGATGTTGGTAGGTATAATGTAATAATTAAAATTTTTATCTGTGAGGCTGGGTGTTTATGTTATGCGTTATCTGTCAACATGCTGCACTGAGTCCGAGCAAAGTGCAGATTATGGTAAGACATACATGAAGAAAAATTAATGGATTTTGTGAACTGCACTTAACAAATTTAGCCAACAAAACTTGTCGTTGTACATTTCTATTTATTCTCATGCTCCATTTGTCATTTTTTGTATTTTTTCATTTATGGTTTTGCATCTTGTTACAGAATATTTAGATATCAGTTACAAAGTTAATTATCAACAATTGTTTTAAATCTGAACGCACATGTCATTTATTATTGATTTTTTGTATATTCTTAATTTATGACTAGTTTAAAAATAAGTGTGATACACACATCTTAATGATCTCAGGTCATGGTATAGAAATACAATTTATGGATGCCTAGTAGCTTAATTGTCTGTTGAATGTTATTTATTGTACTAAATGTGGTTTTTCAACATTTTTTTTTTTTCAATGTTCAAGAAAAAAAAATTTTTTATGCTAAATGACCGTAATTTGTGCAGAGGTACAAAGTCAGTGGGTCGGCTCGGACCGAGATTACACATACGATGAATTACTTGACAGAGTATTTAACATAATGAAAGAAAAGAATCCTGATATGGTTGCTGGAAAGAAACAAAAATTCGTCATGAGACCACCACAAGTCGTCCGTATTGGAACGAAAAAGACGTCCTTTTCTAACTTTACCGAGGTAATATTTGATTTATTAACTTTCAAAATTTGATGATCCTAACTTAAGGTTTCGTAATAATTCTCGTTTGAGCAAATGTTCAGGAACAATCAGTCTAGTTACTTTTTTCAATTCTTCGAAAAATTGTATCATCATTCATTTTCTTTCCAGATTTGTAAAACTCTTCATAGACAGCCAAAACACTTGCTGGACTTTTTACTAGCTGAGCTGGGTACCAGCGGCTCGGTAGACGGTAACAGTCAACTAATCATCAAGGGTCGCTTCCAACAGAAGCAAATCGAAAACGTTTTACGAAGATATATCAAGGAGTACGTGACGTGTCACACGTGTCGTTCGCCTGATACCATTTTGCAAAAGGACACAAGGTTGTTTTTCCTTCAGTGCGAAACGTGTGGTTCTAGATGTTCTGTGGCCAGTATTAAATCTGGTTTCCAGGTCAGTGTTATCGTCAATAAATTTCTTTTGCATAAAACTAACATTTTGTCAACATTACTGATTGGCTCCTTATTTGTTTTTTTTTTCAGGCCGTTACTGGCAAGCGTGCTGCGATTCGGGCAAAGACTGCCTAAAAATATTTGTACACCATACTACATTATTTAGTTATATCTTTAATAAAAAAAAAAAATTAATAAAAATTATCGTTGCAATTTATTCTATATTTGATTGAAGCCGATTTCTCGACACTGTGGTGTCCACTCTGCGAATTAAGTTCCTTTTCAACGGATCAGTAATGAAATTGTAGAGTACCGAGAAATCGACGATTCATGCACAGAATGTAACAATAATAGCGATTTACAATTTTTATCAAAATGAACTTTGTAAAGAAAAAAAAAATAATAAATAAAATAATGAAATTACGATGATTAGATGAAACAAGTGTACCGAATGAAAGCTCGCGTGCGAATGTTAGCGTGGACACAAGTGTAATATGTGTATAAATGGAAAAAAAATAGCCAGCGAAACAACGTCAACCTTGAATTTAATGATATAATATATATAAATGTATTATTCTATATTGTTATGTTGGTTAATAGCTAAATGAAAGGAAAAAGAAAAACAAGGGGTTACTGACGAATCGACGAAAAATTACGCGAGATTCGAGAAACAAGTAATAACCATCGCGTCTTTCTCATAGGTAATTTATTGATTGTACATTTGCATCTAAAAGAATAAATCATCTTACTACAGCTCTCAATCCGCTGAAAACGATGCTTTTCAATGCCCCCCTTCTACCCTCCACGCATCCATGACACACACGTATGAAAAAAAAAAAAGCTCAGAGACGCTTTCTCGCTCGCACAAGTATAGGAAAGGAATAGAAAATCCATGGACACACATACATGCGTCGTGCACAATAACCCATGCATTAACGAGTACGAGGCACTGATGTGTCTTTGTGCCGGAGCTGCTGCGCTATTTAGTCATCAGGCAGATTTTCCTCGGATACAAAAGCATTTTTATACATCATACACGCACAAAGAGGCATGACAAAGCGCTTTGTGCTAGCGTATCGAACGTTTGTCACGGTGTGATTGGAGGATACCTCGGATGCGTGTATTGATTCATCTATTGAAATTTAGCAAAGGGTGTTCGGATTGTTGAGTAAAATAAAATTGAAAAAAATCGCAAGCTTTCCAGAACAACTGTAAAAGCTCCAGGCCGAGCGAGCTTTCTGCCGAAGCACACGCAAAAGTGGAATTTCGGAACGTCGATTTTCGATAGGACCCTTGAATAATAGCTACTTTTTCCCACCCCTCCTTGGCCAGGGGCTCGAAGGGAAAGCCAAAACTCTAACGGCCGAGGGCAACTGGGAAACAACGCCTCGGAGCTTTTTTTTTTATTTTCTTTATCCTCCGTATCGGGAATTGCCGCTAACTTGTCGAAATCGACGTTCAATGAGTTTCCAGCGCGCGCGTGCACGCAGAAGCGTCCGAAAGCTCCGATATTTCGGGGAGGGAGCGAAGTTGTAAAATCAAAGTCAGCAGGGGGTGAAAAAATATAAATGCTGTGTGTCGTATTGTATACTGAAAAAAGTGTACACACCAGAGCGCATAGTTTATAAATGTATAATATTGTGAAAGAAAAAAAAAAAAAAAAAAGAAATCTTTGTAAAAGACACATGTATAAAATGTACAAAAGAGAAGGCTCGAGTCATCGAGTGGCACATGTAATAAGCCCGAGCACGCATAACAGGGGTGGATACGTAAGAAATATTTTTTTTGTACGCATATACATCGCAGGACAGAGGCGCCGTGTATATTGTACGCTGCACATTTGTACCTACATGATATGTGGCAAGAGAGTGGAGTATCGACGGGCAAATTAACACGCGCAGGCGCGCTCTGCTTCGGTAGTAACACTGTGCGAGGGGTGGCTGATGGAGCAGCCTCAAGTCGTTCTTATGTATACTTACCTACGACGCGTCATCCCTGGAGCCGGAAGAATTTTTTAGACCCAGACCACATACGAGGAGTAGCGAAAGCTCGAAAAAATTGCAAGCATTGATTTTTACACACCCCCGTCATATCCTTGTCGCGGCTAACTACACATGGACTTGATGGAAAGCTACACAGTTTGGATTTATATGTTTGTAATGTCTCGTCCGAATAAGCCTTTTCCGAAATTAAAGCTCTGAAAAACTTACCTCTACCATCGAAGAGAAGAAAAACGAGCGTGAGCTTTCGATAAATAACACGAAGCACGGAAGCTCCCTCGAGCACAAACTTGGAGTAATGAGGGGTATATAAGTGCACGGCGTCAATTATGCAAAGCACGGTTACTCGGGGAGGGAGAAAAAAGCTCAATTACATACACGAGCTTTTTTCCTGTTAGTGGTTAAGAAAAAGCTGATTTCTGGGATATGGATGAAAAACTGAGAAGTAGAAGGGGATAATAGAACTCGAGACTGGAGACGCTGAGGGTACACAGCTTGTTATACTTACTACACGTCCAAATCTTTGTAGAGAAGAAGACGGGGTATAAACTGCAGTATAGCTTGTCACGGTACTTTTTATGTCGGGTTGCTAAAAAAAAAAAAAAAAAAAATATGCAGCTTTTCCCGCTCACCATCTCTTATTGTTTATTCATCTCAACGATGCAAGCTCGACTTTGCGTTGTTTCCTCTTCGTTGAACCCATTAGTGGAGCAAATACTTTTAGTCATGCAATTGCCTTGGAAATTGTTTTTTAAGGGGCATTTGAAATTATTTTCCAAAAAGATGACATAGCACCACTAGAGGAACAAAATGAAAACGAGTACCAACCAGTTTGTCGTACTCGGCAATATATAACGGTAATTCTAATAATAAGCCGCGCAGGTATAGCGCGGAAACGGGATTTCAGTTACAGCGAGTATGGAAACCTTTTTTGTGCACCGAAACAGATAATAATAATATACCATACCGTCCGAAATAAGTACACGAGTTTCCATGCCCCGTTCCGACGTCGGGGGGCCGATGGAAGCAAAACCTCGGGCTAGACTAGCGCGAAATAATATGTTTCTACGACTGCGCTTCGTCCACAGCTTTTGAAATTAAACTAATTTTAATAGTGAACTGTTTATTTGACAGAAAAAAAAAAAAAAAAAAAAAAACGTTTCATCCATCAGTTGAAGAAACAATCATCAACGAAACAGCATTAAATGTACATATATATCTGTACACGATGAAATAAAACTTTCACGGATGAATTATGCAAATCAACAGAATTCAAACGCCACAAGTGTAGGTAACATGGTGTTTAGTTACGACATTCGTGCGATAAATTACCTCCTGCGTGCACGTATATATATGTGTACATACGTATTTATCCAGCAAGGAAAATAATAGCACAGGCGTGCGAGCGAGGCACAGCGTGATTAAATATTTAAGGAAAAACGAAGTGTACGGTAGCTCTTGTTAATATTTTCAGGGGAGGCCGAGCTGCTGTGACTCATGTATACAGTTTTACCCACACTGGTGTATTACGTATCCAATAGAGGGTTGGGGCGAAACGCGTACTTTACCGTAAAAAAAAAAAAAAAAAAAAAAAAAAAATGTCCATGTAATATGTATTCGTGGGTAGAGAAAAATACTTGAATCTTTATGATCCACCTCTAAACTTTCTAGGCGCGTAAAAACACGCTTGGAAAAATTGGGGAGTGAAAATTTATATAATATATTTTCCTCCGACTCGGTAAATCTCATTAGTTAGCATACAATTGGCAAGATCGTGCGCTTTTGCTTGAGAAAAAAAAAAAAAAGAAAAAAAAAGAAAAAACAAGGCGTAGCCTACGCGGAGAGCTGATGCAGTCGAAGTATACTTAGCAATTATGGAAGATGTATGGACGGAGAGAGAAAGGCTGCGAACGCACCTTCGACCTCAATCACTTTTCATTATTGCACTGACGAGCTCCTGTATTATGTGTTTTCTCCCAAAGCTTCTTGATTTTCTCGTCAGCTGCTGGAGACGGACGCGTTTAGTTTATACTTTTTTTCTCTTTCTCTCTCTCGTCACGTGATTGATATTCGTCGACGTGCTTTCCGGAACGAGTAACCAACTCCATCTTATTTTAGTTGGATCATCGTTTCACGTTTTTACATGGTAGCATTATTTGTACTTTGCAGCATAAATTTATTATTATCATCAGTACAACTTATTAAAAATTAATGCAATCATTCAACAATCAGAAATTAAAACAGTTGTAATCAATTACCATGACATTGCAATGATCCAATTAATACATGTACATAATGTGTTAAATATTTACTAAAACAAAAACAATTTTTTTTCCTTTTTGTTTTTTGGATACACTATATTACAGTAGTAATATTATACACGCCCTTCGCAAGATGAAGGTTTTATTTTGTAAGCATATATACATGATATACCACATAAAATAAAAGTCCACTCAATTTCTTATTTCTTCAAGATGATTAAACAATTTTTCGAGAGCCACCTCCACCGATGCAAGGCAAAAACTTTTTCTTGCACTGCAACGTAGTTGATTTCTGTAAAAATTCATCTAGATATATTTGTATGCCGTAGCTTCTGCCACGCGCACTTGAAAATGTAATGTAGTTTCAGCCACAACAACGAGAGTAAGTATAGGCTCCGGCAGCTCTCCCGCGCGTGTGAAAATTTTATGTTGTTACTTTACAATGAGCATAATAGGGGTAAGTGAGCCAATTACTGCGCACTCAACGGTAACTGAAAATAAGAAAAACAGACTGAAAAATTTGGGTGCTTGGATATTGTAACACGTACGGACATTAATAACGTTCAATCCATAATCATACTTTACATCATGACATTTATAATTGTTTAACTGAGTGACTAAACGAATCTAATCTAAAAACTTTGTAGTCGTGCGTAGTGATTGGAGCGCAGCAATTGGGTCTAGGGCTTCAGCATGAAAACCTTACGGGAGATACCCACGCAGTAGTTGGGGGCGCAGCGACTGGTGCTAATTTTATAACCGTGCGCAGTAATACCAGCAAGTGATATCAGCACTAAAACAATTATTTAAAAAAAAAAAAAAGTTACTTAACAGAAAAATGTTTGTCGTTTTAATCGCACGAGATGCTGCAGATAAAGATTAAGTAAAACTGGTTCAATTTACATCGAAAAACATTGAGAAATGAGAAATTTAGTACAATC